CCCCGGGGAGGCAGCCCTGACTCCCCGCCTCCACGTACTTCGCCCCTGGGTACCCAGCCCAAGTGCTCTAACAAAGCACGTGTGTGCTGCACACCAGGGGCGGCCAGGGGCGGCCAGGGGCGGCCAGGGGCGGCCAGGGGCGGCCAGGGGCGGCCAGGGGCGGCCAGGGGCGGCCAGGGGCAGGGACCCGCCTGGTGAGGGGTGCTGGTTCCCGCCCCGGGGAGGCAGCCCTGACTCCCCGCCTCCACGTACTTCGCCCCTGGGTACCCAGCCCAAGTGCTCTAACAAAGCACGTGTGTGCTGCACACCGTAGCCAGTCATTCCCAACATGAAGTATGAAAAAGTTTAATCACATTTGAAATTCACACATTATCATGACAAACTTACATATGTCCAATAAAGAAAAAGAGTTACTGGGTATAAAGTCTGGTTTCAACTGCTTCAAATACTTAACATGATAATCATTTTAGATTTACTGCCTGTGTGTCTGTACAGTTTCTCATCTGAAGGCTGATTCTAAATGTGATGAGATCATCATTTAACACCTTAGCAAGTGTACAGAGCTTTTTCGACATAAAACCATGCAGGAAAATGTTATGCTTATGAAATCAGGCTCACGTTCCTCTTAACTTTAAAAGTATCTCCTTTAAACTAGGGATGGTGGCACATTCCTGGAGTGCAGCACTCCAGGAGGCTGAGCCAGGAGGATTATAAGTTTGAGCCCAGCCTGGGCAATTTAGCTGCTTAGCAAGAACCTTCTCAAAATAAAAAATTAAAAAGGGTTGGGGATCTAGCTCAGTGAGAACTTCCTGGATTCAATCTCCAGCACTGAAAAAAAATTCTTTAAAGCTCTATTTAAATTCAATATTTCATTATCTTCAATACTTTCTGTTTTGTTATAATTTTAAAAATAAAACTGAACCAGTTTTCACCAAGCCCTACATAGAACTCCTGCAATTTATTTCAGTTCATTTTATTCCTAAAATTCTATATTTTACAAATATGAAAAAGACAGGAAACCAGGGCCTTATATTTATTAACATATAGCCACACTTGTAATTATAGAGGTGAATGAACTGGCCAGGTAACATACGTATCGACACACATTTTCCTGCCATGAGTAAATTAATTCAGATTTCCAAAGTACAGATCACAAACCTATTTTTCCAAACTGAGTGAAGAAAGCCTCTGTAGGTAAAGTGCAAGGGGCCGGCGGTAGCCCAGTTTGCAAGTGCATTTTGCAGGCTGCAAGGAGCTTCAGGAGAACTGTTTTGTAACGCACTTTACAAAGACTTCTGCAACCCCCCCGTGATTGTACACCCCGGTTCAGGCGGCTTCTCGGGGACACTGAAAATGCACTTTCTTAGGGTGCAACTAAGAGAAAAAGGCTGCGTCTTGCAGCACGAGGTTAGGGGAAGCCCGACCAAGAGAAACGCAGCCAGCCTGCAAACGTTTCCTTTCTCTGCAGTTTCTCTCTTCCTCGAGTCTGTTCAAGGTGGCCGGATTGAATCTTTCTGTTAAAAACGTGTTCAAGTAAATTCTCCGAATCCCCCGGCAGATGAAATTTGCTATTGCGTAAATCCGGAGCAGCCAGAGCACTGCGCGGGGACAGCAGTTGCACCAACTCCTGAAAGCGCAGCCTATTTGGGAGCCCTGGGGTAGGAAGCGAGGCCGAGGTTCGGTTCCCAGACTGGGTGTGGCTTCATGAGCTCATCCAAGGGGGCGGGCAGGGCCGGCTCCCTGTTTCTATTTTTAAAATGTTTATAAAGATCTTCTTCGCTGTCCGAAGGCAGCTGATGAGGGTGAGACGTCCCTCGCGTTACAGTCACAGGTAACGACTTGCGCCACCCGCGCTGCCCCGGTTCCGCCGAAGCAGCTGCAGGGCGCCGGCGCGCGCTTCCGCCTGAGCCCCACCGGGTGCCCCACGCCGACCCCGGTACCGGTGGGCGTCCGGGCCGGCCGGGGGCAGGCGCGGCGGAAACGCTCTTCCCACCTCCGAAGGCCCGAGGGCCGAGCCCAGCAGGGCTTCCCCCGAAAGCCAAGCCCCGCTCGCTCCGAGCCGCTCCGTCTCCAAGTAAAGAATAATGCGGGCTGCAGTGCGTCTCGGAGGGCGAGCCGGGTGGGTCGCGTGGGTCGCGGAGGGTCCCCAGGGCGGGCTCCGCCCCTCGCCACCAGCCCGTCTGGGCTCTGAGGGAAGAAGGGCGACTCCGCCCCTGTCCGCCCCGGTCCGCCCCGGTCCCCAAGCACCCAGCCGGAGGGAGGCGGGAGGCGGGGCGGCTCCGGGGCGGAGGGGTCGCTGGGCTGGGAGACCCGACGGCCGCACTCGCAGGGCGCCGCGGAGCCTCTGGGTCCGAGCAGAAGGTAACGACTGCCCCGGGCGCTGAGCAGAGCCGCGGGCCCCTCCGGGCGCCGGGTCCCGGGCTGCCTGCAGCAGGCCTCGCGGGTCCCGAACCGGGGTCCCTGCGCGCAGACCTGAGCCCGTCCGGGCGGGGCCGGACCGCTGCCCGTGGCGGACGCCCGGACGGAGAGGTTCCGAGAGGCCCCGAGCCCCGAGGCTCCCGCAGCTCGGCTGGCCGGGAGCGGGAGCTCGGCCGGACGCGGAATTTCCCGGCGCGGCTCCAGCTGACGGAGGGGAAATGGGACCGGCGGGGACTCGGCTCAGACCGAGGCGACGACGGCGCCCTCCGGGCCCGCAGCTGACCCGGGCCGGGGCCCACAGGGAGCGGGGTCCCCGCGCCCGCAGAGCCCGCGTGCCAGGCCGGGCAGAGCCAGGAGCCGCCGGGACCACTGAGCGCCCGGACGCGGGAGGCACCCACCCTCGCCGGCTCTGCCGCTCTTGGGCCTGGTACCGGTGCCGGGGCTGGGCGGCGCCGTCCGCAGACCGAGCTACGCGGGAAGCTCCGGCAGGTGGCCCGTGAGGCCTGGGGGGAGGACAGGGCAGCCGGGCATCCCGAGGCTTTTCCGCAGAGGGACTTAGAATTCCGGGAGCCTGGAATGCAGCGTTTGGTCTTTAGGGGAACAAAAAACAGGCGACGTGCCGAGAGCCAGTGTAGAATTTTGGCCGGAAAATCTTCTAACTGGGAAGTAGCAGCGGGGCCGATCCTTCTGGGGGCCAAGGCGCCTGCCTGTAATACGGGCCATCTCCACCCTCGCCTGGCTGCACTCAGCCTTTGTCCATGTCGGATTTTATTGCTAGTTTCTGAAACAATTTGAAGTAAATAGCTTTGACTGCAGTGACACATCTCTCCGTTTGTAAAATTGGCGTTCTTCTCTACTGTGTTAGGAAGTAGGAACTCTTGAAAACTTTGCCGGGCACAGTCATCTTAAACTAAAAGTCTTTCCTGCTAAATTAGAATGCTTTCACCATCTGCGCGTTCCCTAGGTGGGTATTGGCCATGCCTAACTCGGAAGCCTTGACTGTCTGCCGAATTACAAGGTGGGAAGGCTCTGAGGCTTCTTGGGCAGCCCTTAGCAGGCCGACCTGGAGCACAGGTTTGTGTGACGGGAATCTTGTTGCTGAGGAACTAAGCAGACGCTGAAGGAAAGCTTGCTGTGAAGCATTCCGCCTCTTCGGTGCTTTTCTTCCCCTGCCCCAACTCCCTGCCCCTCAGCTTGAAATTTAGGGGTGTGTGTGTGTGTGTGTGTGTGTGTGTGTGTGTGTGTGTGTGTGTGTGTGGTGATGGTGAACCTTTCAGAGCTTCCAGTGACACAAACAGCCCACTTCGGCACATGCAGTAGCTTTGCCACCGCTGGCCCAGGTTTTATGTGTAAGTGCTTTCTGCAGGATTTAAAAAGCAATGCCTTCCTTCCTCTCTAGATTTGTTAAGTTAATCTGAACTCTGTTGACTTTTTCTCACTTTCTCTTTTTTAAAATTTGAGACCCGTTAGCACTGGGAAGTTTATTTGCTGCCATTTGACTTATCCACTTGATAAGTCAGTCCAGGAGCCTTGGGTCTTTGCTGCTAGTGGGACCCCTCAATTAGACTGTTGTTTCTTTAAACTTCTGTTTTCCTAGTAAATTCTATAAGTGGAAACTGCAACTAAATGGCTTGGTGAAACTGAAGTCAGATGCTCTTCCATTAACCTAAGAAGTTCCCTTCATAAGACCTCAAATGCCAAAACTTGAATCACAGCCTCCCACAAAGATGCAGGAGATAGACCTGTGGGAGGAGACGCCTCCTCCTGTAGATTTAAGTGCGGTCAAAACAGCCATCAGAGCATCCGCAGGTTTCTGCCTTTTGCCCGCCCTTTGTTTCTTAGTTTAGACACGATTTTTAGAAGCCTACTGTGAAGAAGCTGGGGAATAAGTAGCCACATCCCTTTGCAGATAAGAAAGGAGGTTAATGCAATCATCTGCAAAGCTAGGTCGACACAGTACTTCTTTCTTCCATGCACGCAAAGTAGGTACAAGTGACACATTTGATCTACTCCGCACCCGACATGGGCCAGCCACCTTGCTCACAGATCTGCACTCAATCCTCTTGAACCATTCGGCGGGAGGTGCTGTGATTACTTCCACTTTTTGCAAGGGGCAGACGAGGCACCGAGCTGTTAGATGCTCATCCAACATCATGCACACAGTACCAGGAGAGTGGTGAGAGCCGACCCTACACTGAGCCCAGAGGAGTACTGGACTGCAGGATGGGCGCCAGACTGCTTTCCAGGCTCAGTTTGGACATCAGTAAATGAAGCTGACAGTAAATTGCAGGTGGTGCTGCCCTGGAGCATTTCGTGGAGCTCTGAACTGAAGCTCTGGTCCAAGTGTGTGGCTCTGGCAGAGTCCTGTGTGTTAAGTTTTTCAGCTTTTTCTTTTGGCTCTGCTGGGGATCAGACCTAGGCCCTGGGGCATGCTCAGTAAGCGCTGTACCACAGGCTACAGTTCCCAGCCCAGCTTGGACTTTCCAGACCCTAGGTGATCTTTCAGAGAGGGGCCGTGCCTCCAGGAGCCCAGGAGTCAACAGCCAGGCTTTGAAATTCTTAGATTGCTTTGATCCTGTCTTTGACCCTTTGCAGTGCAGCTAAATGGTTCTGAGATCCACAGGGACAGTGTCTCTTTTCCTCCTTTGTTTCATCTTCTTTTTCTCATTTACACCTCCACAAGTGCCGTGCCTGATTGGGTGAAACCGAAATGCCATTTTGGCTCAATGCAGTAATCAGCTGCTCTTCGCCCAGGACTTGCTTGTGGTGGATTTGGCTTTCTTGGTCTCTGTCTACTACAACCATGTCCAGAGAGTTGTTGTTCTAGATACTAAAATAACCTGCTGGGACCCTTGGGATGTTTGCTTTGTACTGTTAAAGAATTCTGGTCTCAGAGGAGACAGCTGTCCTCTCCTGCGCTCTTCACTGAATCCCAGGCCCCTGCCCACCTCCGAGTGAGCTGCTTAACTCACGTGCCCAAAATGACCCCTGAAACCCTTACCAGCGTCACTTTTCCATACATTAAAATCTGTTTCATGTGCTTCTGCTCTCAGCATCTGAATTTTATTTGCCAAGGTAGTTTCTGCGGTTATTCAAGCAGCTGTCTGTCTTTAAAGTTTCCCAGGGTCTAAAAACCACCATGATTCTTGATTCTTGTGGAGAGAGCTGCTGCCCTGGGGAGCACCTGGGTTGTGCAGGCTTGGAAGCTAGCAAGGGCAGGGTCCTGAGGTCTTCAGAGATCCCAAGCTGCGCTTTCTTTGTGTTGCCTTTTGTGGAGTTTATTTTTAGTGGCAAGAACTGATGCCACAGTGCGAAACTCACGAGCTGTGGGGGGTCTCAGGTTTCCCCTCACAGTGAGCGGCACTGAGGGTTATCTGAGTCTCTGTCCCCACGCTATGGACACAGGGACTCTGCTCCCAGCCCTTCCTCGGCGCCTCCACTGGACTACAGTGGGAGACACCAACACAGTGGACGAACATCTGTGTTTCCTTTCACAGACTCCAGCCAGTGCCACAGGAATGGAGTACATGAGCACCGGGAGTGACAACAAGGAAGACATCGATCTCTTCATCGAGCATTTAAACGTGTCGGATGTCATAGACATCATGGAAAATCTTTACACAAGTGAGGAGCCGGCAGTTTATGAACCCAGTCTGATGGCCGTCTGTCAGGACAGCAATCAGAACAAGGACACCTCGGAGTCCCTGGTGCTGAGTGGCCAGGAGGTGCCCTGGCTGTCATCAGTCAGATACGGGACTGTGGAGGACCTGCTTGCTTTTGCGAATCGTATATCCAATACCGCAAAGCGTTTCTATGGACACCGACCGCAGGAGTCTGGGATTTTATTAAATATGGTATGTTTTTTCTGATCTGTTGAGAGCTGTGTGTTCGGCTTTATTTCAGCTTTACTGCCTTCCTTTAATGCACAGTGGCGTTTGAATCTGGTGTATCCTGGCGTCAGATAAGATCTTTTAAAAGGTAGGAGTCACCTCCAAGATAAAAATGCAAAAGAAAGTCTTCATGAAAAGTTCCATTTAAACAGTCTTGACTATAATTCAGTAGCAGTTCTACAAATAGATAATTAAGATTGTAATTTTTTTTTTTTTTTAGTTTCTTTCTGTTTTTTGTTTTTTGTTTCCTAGCATGTGCTGGGAAAATGCTCCACCACTGAGCTACACCCTCCCCTTTGAGAATATATTTTAATTTACCAATTCATTAAGAAGTTCAATCATTACTAGTGTTGATGAAAACAGCTTAATGAGAATGCCTCAGCTGAGGGGAATAAACACCTTAATACTTTCTAAGGCTGCATTATTCGCTTCTCTCTTACCACCTCTTGAAGTGTTATAATACTAACAATGGCTGAATTCAGTTCTTCCAAAAATATGGTTAGTAGGCAGCTATCCATAGACGTGTTCTGTTTTAATTGGCAAACTATGAATGACAAATAAGGCGTCAGTGTAGTCATCCTAGGCATGCAAATAATCCAAAATATTGTGACAGCACTTTGTCGCCATGCCACTTTGTGGCATGTTCAGGTGAGCCTGTCCTGTCAGGCTCCGTGTGCAGAGGTGAGCATGGGTGCAGGCTGAAAGGTGATCTGACTTTTTTAGAAAGAGCAGTTTGCAGGGGAATAGGTGGTAACTTGCAAAACATGCCTCTGGATGAAAGTGATTCCCTTTCCTTTGCATCTAAAGGGCAGAGTGGCTGCGCTGGGGGAGGTCAGTGCCAGCCTAGCAGAGTCTGGATACTTAATTATTTTGTTTTTTGCATGCCACATTAATGAAAAACAACACAGCAATTTAGGTCAGCTATGTAGTGAGTTGTTTTGTTGGAAGCAGTTTTGTTCAGCTTATCATGGAGCAAGATTATGTTTTGCATTGTGTGACTTCCTTCGGCCTGCATGTACCAAACAGTTACTGAGTGCTCTGCCTTCAGAATATTGCTTCCTTTAGTAAGTAGGAAGTAATAACTTGAATTAGGGATGAGACCTGATTTTCCTAAGTAACATATAGATGTAGCACTGGTTCAGAATTATATATATATGTTTATATGATGATAAACATAATTTCACGTATTTCTCTCATTTGTTACATGTTTATTAAACAGAAACATTCAGAATAGACACATTGTTGTTGCTTGTAAAACTAAAGAGACTTAGGTATTTTGGGTCGTCCCACGGTGCACTGATGAGAAACAAGCCATGTACACAGGAAAGTTATAAGAAGTACAAAGACGCAGCCTCTTGAAGGTGTTTAGGAGTAGGGCCAGAAGCTAGCACAGAAAAAGAAACTGAGCCATTAGAAGGAAATGAAAATTCCATCAGCAAAGGGTAAGAGTAAAATGTTGTCATTTTCTGCCAAGAAATCTGTGCTGTGTGGTGATGGAGCAAATGCTCGCTAAAAAGAACTCTTAGTGATAGGACATATCATAAAGGCAGGGATCTTGGCAACTTTAAAATATTTTTATTTTAAAAATGACCAAGAATATAAAGTGTAAGCAAGGAAACTGAAACAAAGAAAGAAACCCGGAGTGAAGTAACAGGAGGATCTTGGAATCCGAGGCACCCTGGCTCTGGCCTCTCCAGACTGCGGTCTGGGCGCTGGGAGCAGAGGTCGACTCTGCGGGTGCTGAAGTTAAGGCCGACTGGGTCCTTCCCTGGCCGCGCCTTTCCCAGCCCTGCTTTCTGGGCAACAGCCTCGGCTTGGACTGTCGCCTCCCGTGGTCAACACGCTCCGGGGGACGGGCTGGCTCTCCGCTTCCTTTCATCCTCCCCGGCCTGGTGCTCTTTGGGGCCCATCCCAGGGGCCAGGCCTTTCTCCTTTTGTCATCTTCCACTTACAGCCCTAGCAACACTTTTGGCTTCTGGTTTTATTTGCTGCTGTTTGTCTCTGCGTTAGAAAAGTATCTCCCACACAGCTTGGTTCCAAGGTAAACCCCACTGTCAGGCGTACTCACAGGGACGGAGGCTTTCACGTGTCACCGTTCATCCACTAGACACAGCACAGGCGGGACAGCCGTAGACCATCAGTGCTGTTCCGGACAGAGAGATGAGGCTGCTCAGTGCAGGCAAGAGACAGGCGAACAGGTAGTTGTAGTATGGAGCAGCCGCATCCTGGAAGCCTGGGAATGGTCTGGCAGGACACTTCACAGGAGTGTAAAGTAGGAGGAGGGGAGAATGTCAGCCCGGGCTGCCAAGAAAAATCGGTGCCTATGCCAAGGTCTGAGCGTTGTGTTGGAGTCAGCCAGATGGAGTGGGGCGTGTTGCGGATGAGGGGAACAGTGTATGCAAAGGCCCAGAGGCACTCAAGCAGAGTTAATTAGACAGGGAGGAGAGGCAGGAATTGCAACAATATCCTGGAGCGCAGGTGTGTTGAATGGTATCCTTGCTGTGTGTGTGTATGTGCTACATTTCTAAAAATAATATTTGTTATAGAGCCACTGAAATCCAGGCAAGGTACTTTAGGAGACTAAGAATTGCTTTGTGTCAGAGCAAATTATTTCTAAGCTAGGCTGATTCATAACCTGGAATAATTCAAAATGTGTCCACAGGTCTCTTGGATGAGTCTGCAGGGGGTTGAGAGGCCCCAAAGTGCCCACTCAGTGCGAGATGGATTCGGGCAGTTGTGGCTTCTAGGGTTGGAGCCCCCGGGACACCTGAGTCCACTCCTCACCGCCCTGTCCATCGCTGCTCACAGTGGGCAGAGCATTTGCTCTATGCTTGAGAATCTGTTACTGGGGCTCGCCCCACTCGGGGCAGTCTGTCTCCTATTACCCGGTTCTGACTGTAAGCTAAGTTCTTCCTCTGCTCAAAGCAGTCACTCACACTGCCCACTCATGAGATCCATTCTTACTAGAAGGTCTAAGAAGTTCTCTGTAGGTTCGTTGCTCCTGGGCCCAGTATTATTTCTCTCAGAGACTAGAGAGCTGGGTGAGGAAATGGAAAGCACACTTCTAAGATGACTTTGGCAAGTCAAAGAATTGGCAGGAATAGACAGCGCAGAGTCCCCGAGACTGTTGGGAGGGCTTTAGAAGGAAGGGAAGGAGAAAAACACTTGTCAAGGCCTAATGGGCCTGGCCCTGGCCAGGGGAAGATCCGGGCACTGTGCAGGACTGCACACTGGGCAGGACTTGCAGCTCATAGCATAGGTTCAGAGCTACCTTCCACACTGTCCCAGAGGACTCAGGAGGGGAGGCTGGGGGAACCAGGGCCTGGCCGAGGAGAAGGCTACAGTGTGTGTGGTGACACAAGGACGCGGGCTGTCAGTAGCTGGGCCTGCCGCATAGCTCAGCTGTAATTATGGCCTCTGGGACACAAGAGGTTCCTAGACCAGCACTGGGAGCTCTGGCTTTGGAGTTAGGCCACCCAGTCTGAATCCTGTCTCTGGCGCTGACTCTAAGTTACCCAGCTTCTTCATGTCAGTTTCCTGACCTGTGAAATGGAGATAAAAATAGTCCCTCAGCTCACAGGGCCCTGGTGGGTCTTGAGGAGATAATGGGTTGAAGTACTGAGCGCAGTCCTGGTGTGCAGTTAGCACTCAGTATGTGGCAGCCGTTAACATCCTTCTTCCTCCTGGACAGAGTAAGAGGGGAAACTGAATTATAACTAATTTAGTTTGGACAAAAGTGAAATTCGAGCAGCAAGATGAGCCTGGAATGGTTCCGTGGAGGGCCTAGCGATACTGGGTCTGTTAATATTTAACAAGTGAGAGCCGGTGGGGACCCTGGCGTGGTTCATCTGCATTCGCCAGACCCTCAATAAGCCACGAACAGAGGCCTCTGTGCCCAGAAGAGTCACTGCTGCCGTGTTGCAAACAAGACCAGACCGTGGTTCACCCGTATGCCCCCCAGTCCTGCATGCCTTCTGCACAGCAAAGCTCTCAGTACATAATCCATTTGTAAGCTTAATGGCATTGCATTTCTAAATATTAGCCATTCTCTGCCTCATTGATGAGCATATTATTTGCGGGCTGTGGTGTTAAAATTAGCAACAGTGGAAGTGGATGAACACGCCTGGGTCGCAGGCCTGGGCCGTAGCAGTGGTGAGCAGGACCCGTGGGCATCTGCTGCCCTGTCGGGAGCCCTTTCTTCTCCCATGGGCAGGTCTGGGATTTCCACATTCCCCTTCGGCGTCCTCTACTTGAAATAGGTTAATACTTTTGATAGCTTCATGATTCCTCAATTTATAATCCGAAGCCGTGATATCACTAATTACATTTAGGAAAAACTGGTTCTTCAGACTGTTTATCCCCGAGAGAACACTTTAGACATTTTTAGGCATCTATTCCAGGTCCTGTTTTCCGTAGACTACCGTACAACTTTGATTGTTATCGTCCATTTAGTTTTTCCTCTTTAGACATCGAGGTGCTTTCTGTACTGCAAGACAGAGATCCAACACCGAGTTGATGAGCTTTGACCGATGCTCATGTCCTTGCCAAGCACAGTGCTATTGGGATATGCGTCTGTTGATTTCCGAGTTGACCAGTTGTGTTTATTTCACTGATTTCCCCTTGAGGTGACCAGTGGTATTTTATTTACTGTGCCGATCTGTTTGTTCTCTGTGTCACCTGGTTTTGCAAGCGCTGGTCCTAAGTGTCTGCTTACTCAGGAGCAAGGAGGACAGGGATCGTGTCTCTGTGGCTGTCTCCTTAGCCCTAAACCGCGTGCCGGGCACATATGAGACACGCAGTAAATATCAGATGGGTGAGTTGACAGGAATGATTCTGCCCTGACTATTTATGTGGCATTGCCAACTCATGGCTCCGGCATTGCACGTTGTTCCACCATTCTCCGTGAGCCTCGGTGAATTTCCACGTTCTCTCTGTTGCAGCATGCTGAGTAATGGCTATGGGGACAAACAGGTCCGTGCGCTTGAATAGAAGCAGGTCGGTGAGTAGGCACAGCTGCCACCTGTATTTTCAGCCTATGGCTCACACTCGTCAGGTTCCTTAGATACATTATGTATGTACTTTTTCAGCTTTTATTTTTCCTTAGTGCTTGTCCCAGCACATAGTGACTGCTCTCCTTGTGGGGAGTTGGTGCGTTGCCTGGCATACATCAATTCTTTTTTCATACCTTCCCCGACCTCCCTGCATGTCTTGACCTCCTTCCCATCTGAAGCCCCCTACTTCTTATTATCTTTGAGAGAAGTAATGTTTAGGTTCTGTTTAGCAGTGTAGGTGGAAGTGTGACCAAGTCTGACACCTGTGTCTCTCACAAGCTTTCTCTGGCTTGCTCACTTTCTAAATATAGCCTCTGGACGGTGTTAGGGTTACGCACTGTGCCACTCATTTTAAATGCTGTGTGTCACAGTGCTTCTAAACTAACCAGCTTCTGGTGGGCCTTACTTAGAAAAGAATAGCTTTGCTAAAAGTCTTACCCTTTGCATTTTTATTTTCTTTTAGGTAATCACTCCCCAGAATGGCCGCTACCAAATAGACTCCGATGTTCTCCTCATCCCTTGGAAGCTGACTTACAGGAACATTGGCTCTGATTTCATTCCTCGAGGGGCCTTTGGAAAAGTGTACTTAGCGCAAGATATCAAGACCAAGAAAAGAATGGCATGCAAACTGGTATGTGCTTTGAGGTGGTGTGTTTGACATTCCTGCTTTTGTTTATTTGCATTGACCTTGGTTCTACCCTTAGACTGGATCTTGCCTGAGGGTATTCTGCCCCAAAGCATTTGTTTTTCTGGATTTGCTCACTACCTGGGGCCATGCAGCCCCTAATTAGGTCTCTGGGTAGGTGCCTAAGAAATTTTAAGATGGTCTTTAGCAACAGCGAGGAGGCTAACATCACTACCTTTGCCTGGGAGGAGAGAGGAGCTGCCTCACAGTTGAGGGCAAACCTGCCGTAGCCCCTGTGTCCCATCCACAGGGAGGTGGGAGGCTGAGGGGCATATGTTAAAGGGCTGAATCTGAATACTCCAGTTATTTGAAGGCTCTGTTTCTTCCTTAAACAATAACTGCTATGGTGTTTCTGCTTTCAAAAACCATTTGGCAGAATGCCCTACACCAAGCCTGCATATGCCTGTGACCCAGTAATTCCACCTCTGTAGTTAAACACAACAGAAACCTGACTGTGTGGTCAGCGGAAGCTAAAGCCACAGTGTAGCCTTGTTTACCTCAGCATTGTTTACCTGTAAGAGTCCCAAACCAGAACGTGCCAGATGCCGAAGGGTAGAACATTTATACTCTGGAGTACTGCACAGCAAAGAATCAATGATTTATAAGTAGAATCATAACCATTATGTTGAGCCCAGACAGCCCGACCCACAGGAAGAGGTGCTGGGTGAGTCTCCATTATGTAAAGGACACAAGCAGAAGCAAGTCCAAACCGCCAGGTGCTGTACAGTGGGGTGTGCGCGGGAAGCAGTCCAGAGAGGATTTCTCCGTGGTGCTGGAGGAACTCTCATTTTTATTTATATGAAGATTACCTTTGTATGTTCAGTTGATAATTCACTCAGTTTGACCTTTTTACCATTTCTGAATTTTAATCTGTATCTGTTTTGCTTTAATTAGCTTTTTAAAAGTATGATAAAACAACATACACTCATTTTTGTTCTTTTTTCATAGTGCTGAGGACTGAATCCAGAGCCTCACACATGCTAGGCGAGTGCATTACCTCCGAAGTTCACCCCTTGCCCAGACATTCACTTTTTTTTTTGGTACGGGGATCAAACTCAGGACCTTGCGCTTGTGAGGCAGGCAGTGGAACCACTGAGCTAAATCCCCAGCCCCAAACATTCACTTTTGATTTAATAAAAAATAATCACCAGATATTATATTTCAGACTCTCTTACTGTAATTAAAAGGCAAACGGTATGTTGCGGTGTATTCCTTCATAAAGACGCAGTAGCGCTGGCTGGGGTCCAGCACAGTGGCATAGAGCTTGGCTAACATGCCGCTGGCCTTGGGTTCTATCCTCAGCATTAAAAAAGAAAGAAAGAAAATTTGCCAGAGTATCTATTATTTATACTACTCAGAATATCTACTATTAGAAGACAAAACGGAAAGATATATAATAAGCCATTGAAAACTTACAATTAAAATTTTTATTAGTTCATGTCTGCAGCACATGACTGCGTTGCTCGTGGGTTGGTGCATGTACGTCAGACATCCTGGTCCTTTCCATCCCCTGGCTCTCCCTCCCCTCTCTGCCTCCATGTCTTGGTCCTCTCCCTTTTGCAAAATGCCTGTCTCCCTGTTTCCTATTATCTACCTTTTATTTCATGCTTTATTTATATTTTGAGTTTCTCATATAAGAGAAATCATGTGATATTTAAGCTTGTGTATCTGATTTATTTCACTTAATATTCTGGTCTCAGTGCATCCATTTTCCTACAAGTGACTCAAGTTCATCTTTCTATGGCAGAGTAGTATTCCATTGTGTATAAACACCACATTTTCTTTATCCATTCATCTTTTGATAGACATATAGGCCACTTCCAAGATTTAGCTTCTATGAATTGTGCTGCTGTAAATATGAGTGTGCACGTACCACTGTAATACAATGTTTTTAACTCTTTTAGGACAATACTTAGGAGGGAAAGAGCTGAGTCAAATAAAATTTTTAGTTTTTTGAGGACTCTCCATACTGATTTCCATAGTGGTTGTACTAGTTTACATTCCCACCAACAAGGTTTCCTTTTTGCCCCACAGCCTCACCAGAATTTGTTATTATTTGATTTCTTGATGATAGCCATTCTTTATGGAGTAAGTGGAATGTCAGCACTGTTTTAATGTGCATTTCTCTAATGGCCAGAGATGCTGAACATTTTTTCATGTATTTATTGACTGCTTGTACTGTTTTTGAGAAGCATCTATTCATTTGTTTGGGTCTTTTATTTTTGGGGGGATGTCCTAATTTTTGTATTCTTTATATAGCCTAGATATTGGTTCTCTATCCCAGCAAGGAATAGCTGGCAAAATATATTTTTTTCCCATTCTGGAGGTTGTCTCTTCATCCTTAAAGCTTACATTTCAGAAAGTGCATATTCAAATTGTAAAAAATTTGGAGACTTTTTTTTTTTGAGGCAGGGTCTTGCTGTTAGTTCAGGCTGGCCTTGAACACACAGCAATCCTCCTGCCTCAGCCTTCCAAGTGCTGCGACTACAGGCGTGCGTCACCATACCCGGCTGGAGGCATTTTATTAAAATCTTAGAACCTCAATGTCCTGTTTAGCAATTTCACCTCAAAAAGCATAGAAAAAGCTTTGTGAGTTTGTCCTCATTGAATATTTTTATTTAATATTTAAGTGATTTTAAAAGAAAAATATATAATCAAAAACCAGAAATAAGCTCAAAAGGACACAAGTTTATTAATAAGATCTCCTGCCGTGTAGTGCCTACTGCTAATGGATTCTTAAGCCTCTTTTATGGAAATTTCTATGAATAGATGTATGTACGGTATAAAATTTAAATGGGCACATAGAAGGTGAACTTGCTTTTTTCCCCTATCACTCTGGTTTTGAGACACTTCCAAATCTGTCTGCACTGAAAGAGGTATTTCTGGCTCATTAATGAATGATTTCGCCCGAGGTGGGGCCTCCCAAACACTGCTGGTTTTAAACGCACTCACTGTGAGAGGTTGGACTAAGGGCTAAAGATTTCACATCATCTCTCAGGTTGAAATGTTGAAGAAGACAACCCTCATGCAGGTGCCACAGAAATTACGTGTGTCAGAGGTGGAAAATTCTCTTCTGATGCATTTGAAATTTTACAACGTTGGTTGGATTTCTATATTCTGAATTAGAATAGTCCTTCCCTTTTTATGTTCTTGCTTTGAGTCTGAGCTTACAGCCGACACAGAGGCGCGTCTGAGGCAAGCATTACTTTACTGTAGCAGTCCTCTTTCGCGAGCGTCGCGGTGTGCTGGGAGGTACTTCTTGGCTTTCGGCTCGGGGTTGCCCTATGCTCTGTATTTTCAATTACCCAGAAGTAATGCACAGCCTTGCTTGTATTTTTCTGCCCTAGATCCCCGTAGATCAGTTTAAGCCGTCGGATGTGGAAATACAGGCGTGCTTCCGGCACGAGAACATCGCTGAGCTCTACGGCGCCGTACTGTGGGGAGACACGGTCCACCTCTTCATGGAAGCGGGCGAGGGAGGGTCTGTCCTGGAGAAAGTGGAGAGCTGTGGACCCATGAGGGAATTTGAAATTATCTGGGTGACAAAGCATGTTCTGAAGGGACTTGACTTTCTACACTCCAAGAAAGTGATCCACCATGACATTAAACGTGAGTGGCTTGGGGGTTGGCCTTTTTGGCCTGAAGAGGCTCGGTAGACAGGAGGCCCGTGGCTCCTCCCTTCAGACGGGGCTGCAGTGGCAGGGAGGACTTCTGCGGCCACCGCCACCTCCTTCCCTGTGCCCCGAGACCAGTCTCAGAACCAGGGCGCTAGGTGATTGCTCAGATGTTGCTGCTAATACAGCAGTCGCGTCTACTAGCTAAACTAATCGTGCCCTGTTGACAAGGAATGGGGAATAGAGACTCAGGGGTGCAGATGTAACTTAGTGATACAGCACATGCTTAGCATGCGTGGGGCCCTGGGTTTGATCCCCAGCACCCCACTCCTCAAAAAATAAACAAAAGTAAGAACGAGTAATTTATTTAACACATAGCATACAATTATGTATTTTTAAGGAACAAGTGGCCTTTAAATTTTGAAAATCAATTTGACCGTGGTCGATTAGAGACTGTTTTCTAGAATGAAGGTAGGAGAAGAAGAGGAGAGTAAGCCCGAGTATGAGTCTTTTATACTTATTGTTCACTTGGACAAAAGCACAACTTTTACTGGGAAAAGCTGGAAATTTTACTTTGTGTTTTAGAAAAGTGGTTCAATAATAGTATGCTTATAGTTTAGAATTTATTTATTTTATTTTTTATTTTTTTTGGTACTGGGGATCGAACTCGGGTCCTTGAGTTTTTGAGGCAGGCGGCAGAACCACTGAGCTAAATCCCCGGCCCTAGAATTTATAAAGCAAGCTCATGAGAATTAATAATGTCTATGTTAGCTGGTTTCTGGACAGATGAGAAGTGATTTTCACCAACATTACCACCAAATTCGCCCTCCTCTTTTGAGTGTGATATACTTGTCTCATGTGGAAAGTGCTGCATTCTGTTCTGGTTCGGCAGTTGCTGTTTTAGATGCTATTTTCACCTTATATGCAGTATAGAAACAGTTTTATGCTAAAAATTTCTCTCTCGCTACAGCCAGCAACATTGTCTTCATGTCCACAAAAGTGGTTTTGGTGGATTTCGGCCTAAGTGTTCAAATGACTGAAGATACCTATTTTCCTAAGGACCTCCGAGGGACAGAGGTGATTATATTCATATGAAAGTTGCCAGTACCTTATTAAGAGTTAAAAAAATTCTAGAATTACTGTGGAAAAGAAACACAAAGGGATGAAAACCATCGTATTAAATCGCTGTTGTCACTGGAACAAATTTAATGAGCATTTAGCATTTTAATTTCTATGTCTTTTTCTCCTGTTACTTATAGTACGCAATAATACAGCATTTGTAATGTAGTATATATCGTGATATCTATCTATCTGTGTGTGTCTATGTACATTTGATAGATAAATATACTTAGAACCACTTGGAAACAATCTAATGCCAAAGTAGATTGACAGTTGAGCATCCCTATTATGAAAATCCAGGTTAGGGTTACTCAGCTGGTATTGTAAAATTTAAAAATATTCCAAAATCTGAAAACCTTCTAAATCTGTAATGCCTCTGGTCCCACACATTTCCTATAAGGGATATTTATGTCCACAATTCAGCTGTAAAAACAAGTATGTTGGGGCTGGGGATTTAGCTCAGTGGTTCTGCCGCCTCCTTTGTCAGCACAAGGTCCAGAGTTCAATCCCCGGTACCAAAAAAACAAAAAAACAATTATGTTATTACAGTTAACTTTATAATAATAGAGTTAGCACTTTAGATGAATTATATTGCTTAATCTCCACAACAACTCTGTTATTGGTAAATACTCCTATAGTCGCAGATATTATTATTCTCACTTTACAATAAAGAAATAAACTCAAAGAGATTAAAATAAAGTGCCTGCAGTCACTCAGCAGCTGGGCTCTTTCTCAACTCTAAGTAAGGTCTAAGTGCTGTGTCACTTTTAAATCTAACTAATACATTGTTTCAATGCCCGAATACATTAGGTGAGCACTTTAAACATATCTCCTCGGACATGTATCATGTCTGTATTGTGAAAACATTCAGAATCTTCTGGCTTTTGGAGAGAGATGGTACCACGTCAGTATCTATGGTCACCTACTGGGCCGCAGCAAACCGGAACTTCTCACTCTAATCTAACTGCAACTTAGTGCCCAAAGTTCAACCTTTCTGGTTCCTCTCTTCCCTGGGAGAATCTCTTTCCACTTTATCTGAGTTGTTCAGGGATCAGCAGTTGAATTCACAGTGGGTCATAGTGGGCAAGGAGTGGATGTAGCTGGAAAGGTAACCCGGGCCTTGTCCGCTAGCCTGAGCTGCCTCACACCCAGCCCCCTCCCCGCAAGTGCCGCTGGAAGTGGGAGAGAGTCCCTGGCTGTGTGCTTGCCTCAGGTTACCATGGCAGTCTTGGTGCTCAGCCCGATGGCTGCCCTTAGCATAGCTGGCATATGAGCTGCACAGAACTCAACCGCAAGATTTCATTTTGAAGCAGGATTGTGTGAGCCTTTCTTAACTCTTGCAGTGCAAAGACTTGCTGGGCCACAGGATCCATCTTGTTTTGCTGTTATTCCTGATGTCCTGATGTCATTCCTTCAGCTTGAGAGAGGATTTTTTTGGTTTAGGATTTGTAAGACAGGGTCTCTTTGTGCAGTTCAGGCTGGCCTTGGACTCACAGTGATCCTCCTGGCTCAGCCTCCGGAGTGCTAGAATTGCAGGCATGCACCACGCCTGGCAGGGGAGGGGATTCTTGATCACCGCTTTTTTAGAAAAATAATATTCAGAGAGAAAACTGCCAGCTTGCTTTTTTGGTACCGGGGATCGAACTCACTCGGGACCTCGCGCCTGCAAGGCAGGCAGTGGAACCCTGCCAGCATTTTTTTAAAAAGAATGTTTAGTTCCCAGATCTTAAGAGTACTTTGCCAACAGCACAACACCCAATAAGACTTCATGCTTACGACATGTTTTCTTTGGAAAATGTTTGAACTATTTTGGCAGGGGTCAAGGGTTCAGATATGTGACATTCCACTCTTTCCTGGAGCCAGTCTGAGACGCACACTTTATGGTATTAGAGTTGGAAAATACCTTTTGCTTCCTGGCAGTGTGGCTGAATCGCACATTTTGCAATGCTGGAGAAAGACATGGCTCTTCTGGGATTCTGCAGTGGGTGCTTGGATGAGAAACAGTGACACATCTCACTCTGGAATAGTATTTATTTAGATCAAGCTCTTCCAGTTAGTTAATGCAAATTATTTTGTGTGAAGTGCAGACCTGGCTTCGGTGGTTATAAGCTCCCGTTCAGTTCACCACCTGTGCAGGATTCACAATCCAAGGTTCAATGATGAGAAGCCTGGTGTTACTGCGAAGTCACCGATGAAACCTTTACACGGGCTTGCTTGTACTCCTTCTGTTGAAAGAGCAAATAAGATGTATTTACTCAGAGTCAGCCCTGCAGATCTGCCTCCCACTGGGGCAGGAGCACACAGCTCTTGCATGGTCAGTGACGATTTCTGGACACCCCCCCCAGTGGTGCTCACAGGCACAAACACTGCCACCTGTGCAGCCCCTCTCCCCCCCCCCCCCAGCATTCACATTTAGTGAGTTATATTGTAACCTTGTAATACATACACAGTGTTCATTTGGCATATTTATTTATTTTTTCCTTACATGGCACAAAGAAGAAATAGTGAATGTGCTAACGAATTAGAATACCTTTGATGGTGTAGGCCTTTTTAAAAATTGTTCCTTCTGAGCCTGCTCTTACCTTCCATAAGTTAATGTTTAATCGTCACATCCACATGTACAGGTACAGACTCACTCACACGTGCACCATCTCCTTGCCTTTCTGAAAAGCGCTTGACCCTGGTGCTGAGGTCCCTGGCTCCAGTGTGCACCTGGGGGTGCAGGACTCTCAGGCAGGGCCCTGCCTGCTGCCACCCTGGCACGCAGCCCAGCATGTGGCAGCAGAGTGGGGAGCCACTTGTGTCCAGCCTAGGTGCAGTTGCTCATCCTGACAGTCTACACGTGCTCACCTCTCCCTTGCTGTGTGGGGAGCCCCGTTCTCTACTGACAGCAACACCCGCTCCATTGCTTTCTTTCCCTCTTTTAAAATTATTTGACTGTGTTAAGATCACTCAACATCAGATCTACCCTCTTACTGAAGTTTGAAGCGTGCAGCACATTACACTGACTGTTGGGCACTTTTAGTTTTTAACTTCAAGATCTGATTACTCTGCGTGGCTGCAGGGAGCGTTTGTGAGCAAGGAGCTCAGCTCAGCCTGTTTGCTGACAGTGAAAGGAAGCTAGCCCGGAAGTGGGTTGTAGGAAGGTGCTGAGCAGGGTTAGGATGGGGAAACTGGGCGATTTCCCCAGTTTCTGTAAGTGGGTTTTCTCCTTACTCAGAAATGTATTCTGGGAACACTGACCCTTTCCCCCATATTCACATGACAGCACAACAGAATGTTAAAGCTAAATACAGATTGAATATCCCTCACCTTGAAGGCTTGACTTCTGATTTTGCAGCATTTGCATATATATTCAGAGATATCTTTTAGGAGAGAATTCTGGACATGAAATGTATACTTCATGTGCACATTATGCATATAACTTGAGGGTAACTATGCAGTATTGTTTTTAATGTGCTTGTATTTTTTGCTTTGTTTTATTGAGATTTGTTTCTTTGAGATGGGGTCTCATTATATTGCTCAGGCTGACCTCAAACTCCTGAGCTCAGTGAGTCTCCTGCCTCAGCCTCTTAAGTAGCTGGAACAACAGGTGTGTGTCACCGTGCATCTATGTTTGGACTGTGACCTGTCACGTGAGGGCAGGTGTGGAATTTCCCACTACACATCCAGTCAGGGCTCAAAAGACTTCAGATTTTGGAGCATTTTGAATTTTCAGATGAGGAATGTTCAACTTGTAATGATAATTAGGATATTAATTACTCTTTGTCCTCACCATACAGATTATTGGTCATTAGTGTTTGTTCTTCTATCTCTTTCCCTTTTAAGTTTGTAAAGGACTTAGAGAAACTGTTTATAAAATTAGCTCCACTTCTTTAGTGTCGACTGGTGAAACCAAATGGAACTTGTATGCCGTGGGTACGGCAGGCATTTAATGTTTAGTTACCGGGCTGTATAGAGGTAGACGTGGAAGGGTGGTTTGTAGAGGTGACTCACTCAGGTTGCGTAGCATTACATTTTACTTTTTAAGTTCTAGCAGACAGCTAGAGGCTTGGAGATCAAACGACGGATGGGGCGAAGTGTGTTTGTTTGTCACTTAACTGTGAGAGGAATTGCTGTTTTATGAGAAGTGAACTGTGCCCGGCCAGTGTCTGCAGAACTGCCTGGTGGGGGTGCTGGCCGGGTCTTGGTTCCATGCCCTTTGTGGCTGCTGGGTCATGGCTCCACCCATGGAGAGACCACTCTGCTCAGACTGCAGGGACCCCCTGCCAGGGCTGCCTGCTCCCCAGCGTCTGCAGTGCTCTCCTCAGTGTGGGGATCACAGCGATGGCTTTTCCCCTAAGGGCCGAGTGTGCAGTAAATGTAATAAAGGCGAATGACTGGGAAGTGGAAGTGCAGACAAGTTGTGCTCAGGCTGATGTTTCCCACTCTGCCTTTCTCAGATTTACATGAGCCCCGAGGTGATCTTGTGCCGGGGCCACTCCACCAAAGCCGACATCTACAGCCTGGGGGCCACACTGATCCACATGCAGACCGGCACCCCACCCTGGGTGAAGCGATACCCCCGCTCTGCCTACCCCTCCTACCTGTACATAGTAAGTGGGGTCAGGGCGGGGCAGGTGCCGGCCCACCGGCTGGGGTGGTGGGGAGAGGAACTGCAGGTTCTTCCCGTGAAGAAGAAGCTCCATGCTGACAAAGGAAACAGGCTCTGCTAGTGGGCGCTAAGATGTGCGCTGCACATATGATACGTGCCATGGCCCTGTACGTGTAGTAAAACACCACTTACCGGCCTCAGCCACGGAAGTTGCATGTGTTCTTTGAACACTGTAAAAAGAAAGATACCATTTCTCTGCAGGCTAGCCTGGCTTGTAGTATGATGTGCAGCTCCTGTTCGCTGGTGAAGGAGTCGGGGACACTTTCCTGTTACTGTGCAGTGAGCTTGGGGCCACCCATAGGCAGGAAGGTGTCACCAGTGATTTCAGACATAGCAGCTGCCTTTTGCAGTATTAAACCAAAGGTGGGCTTAGCGCGGTGTCCCAGGAATCCCAGGAGCCCGCCAGGCATGCGAACTGGATTTGCTGGGGCTCCTGTGGTGGGAAGCACATTTCTCCTTAGGCCTGGAGCAGTCTTCCCGCTGAGGGTTTATCTCTGCTTTGGTGCTGAAAGAGCCATTTGTCGGCAGATCCACAAGCAGGCACCTCCACTAGAAGACATTGCCGGTGACTGCAGCCCGGGCATGAGAGAGCTGATAGAAGCCGCCCTGGAGCGGAACCCAAATCACCGCCCCAGAGCTGCAGACCTGCTAAGACATGAAGCCCTGAACCCCCCCAGAGAGGACCAGCCACGCTGCCAGAGCTTGGACTCTGCCCTGTTCGAGCGGAAGAGGCTGCTGAATAGGAAGGAACTGGAGCTTCCTGAGAACATTGCTGGTGAGATGCCCTGCTGTGGATGGCGCCCCTCGCCGCTCTTCTGGCTGCAGCCCTTTGGTGTAGTCCATGAAAGCACGGAGGAGAAAGGGAAATAGCTGCTAAGAGTGATGGGAGTATTACCTGAGATTAGAAGTTCTAGACCAGTCTAGGCAACATAGCAACACTCTTTATCAAAAAAAAAAATTGTCTGTTTTACCACCATATCACGGCAGGTTTTCAGCACAAGTATAGGTAATAACACAGTCATTGGAAATTGCCTCTGACTCATTTTTATGCGGCGGAGAATGTTGTTTGGCTTTAAAAACAAATCAAATATGACAGCTTTGTTGTTGGGGAAGCAGATGGTTGTGTTTAAGTCAGTTATGGTAAGGTTCCCAGGCGCTGGCAGGAGGCCTCGTGGCACTGCCCAGTGTGTACAAAAGACAGACTGTGACGTGGGAAAGTCCACATGCATCCCACGAGCTAGGGCATGTTTGTATTCATTTGTGGTGTTTGTAATCCAAACCCGGATGTCAAGCCTGCAATGCTTGTTTGCGTTTTTCTGCTGCTTTTCTGACTTTTCTCTATTTAGAAAACCATCCAGGCTGTTGAAATATATGCCAGGATTTCTACCCAATTTCTTGTCTGCCCTGACTCCCTTGAATTCTCTGGTCTGGGTCATGGTCCACGGACCGGCCCACAGTGTGTCCAGAGGCAGAGCTATAATAAAACCAGAGCTTGGACATGAAGTCCTTAGGCCTGAAGGATGATTTCTTTGCAGAAGGAACATGCACATTTTACCTGACAGGGTCCCTTGCCATTTGTTTTATTTTTCCCATGTTTTGCTTTACAGATTCTTCGTGCACAGGAAGCACTGAGGAGTCTGAGATGGTTCCCAGGCAGCGCTCTCTCTACATCGACCTAGGAGCCCTGGCCGGCTATTTCAACCTTGTTCGAGGCCCTCCGACGCTGGAATATGGCTGAGCGAGTGCACTGCTGGCTCCACGCAAGGATATTGTGGCCTCCCAGAAGCTGGCTCTGGAGAGGGAATTGTATCCTCTGTCAGGACGAGGGGTCTCATGACAGGACCGTGACCCCGGGTGACCCCTGAGTGTTTGATTTGCAAAGCTGTCTCTGCATCCCCCGGCTCTCAAGGTTCTCATTTCCCGGGTGCAGGACTCAGCGGAAGGAGAGCCCACTCACAGCAGTATTCCTGGTGACTGAGTCCATGCACTGTGCACTTTGAAATTTCACAACTCACAGTCACAAATATGTTCATCTCAAATGACTCTTCTTGGTTCTCATTTATGAGATCTTCACTTAACTCAGAAGAGTTGTCTGCATGTATTAGTGTATGGGATAACTCTGAGCCTTTGTTGGTAGATCCTAGTATAAATTGAATTCGTTAACGTTTGGGTGAATAAAACAACTTGAACACTGTGGCAGTAAGCTTGACGAGTGTCCTCAAAGTGGCTGATTAACTGGGAGCCATCTGAACATGGCCACTGGTGACAGCCTTTGTTATGTTCCTATGGAAACACTGTGTACCGTACATGCTATGCTTCAAACCTTTAAAACATTAAGTTTTGAATGTGGATAAAACTGTGTAAACCACATGATTTCTGTACATCCCAAAGGATGAGAAATGTGACCTTTAAGAAGATGGAAACTTTTGTAAATTCTTGGTGATGCTACTTTTGTAACTCTTGTAACTATTTTCCTTAAAGTATTGTATATTAAAATAACATACTGTGTATGTTTTATAACAAATGCTTTCATGAATCTTTCTTCCATATATATATATATATATATATATATATATATATTTAAGCATTGTAAAGAATGTAAATATTTCTACTTAATATATTTTTTACATTCTGTAATGAAACCCAACAGTTCTGCCCAATGTGACTGGTCAGTCCACTGAATAAACCCATACTTTGTCTTAATTGTCATGAGTGTGATTCTCAGCTGGGACTGGGGATGGGGTTGGGGTAGATATCGAGAGGAAAATATATCACAGAAAGGCAAAACACACCCAGCAGCCTTGCACAGTGTATGATCCTACTGGTGCTGTATAACGTTGTTGTCAACTGGCATGTGTTGTATCCTCTGGTGCATGGAAATAGAAATAATTGTGAGCCCTTGCTCAAAGGTATGTGGGATTCTGCTTTGTATCTTCTCTAGATTTATTAATCATGTCTTGCACCATGAGCAAAATCTTTGCTGTTATCTGAGTAATTATTTCTGATTTCATTTTTCCCAGGTCCTCTTTTGTTGCCAGTTCAGAGAGTCCAGGTGGTTGAGGATCAGATTGTTCCATCTGGTTTCCCTTTGGGGTTGCTGTCGGTGATCCAGAAGTCTATTTTTGAGGCTTGTTTATGTGTCTTCTCACTTCCACGGGGGTGGGGGGTTGCTTCTGGCACCTGCGCAGCTCACCTTCTCTGCCCTAGGAGCTTGGGATGGCAGCGGGGGAGCTTCCTTCTGGGTGCTGGGACTGGCTGAGCTTCTCTGCCCTAGGAGCGTGGGGTGGCGGTGGGGAGCTTCCTTCCGGGTGCTGGGACCGGCTCAGCTTATCTCTCTGCTTTGTATCTTATTACATCCACTTACATGACCTTTGGGTGCGCACTTGCATGATCTATACTCTTACTGTTCGGTGAGTTAATAACTAACTTGCCTTTGTATAAAGCAGATTTAAATCACATACACTGAATTCCCACCAAGTGGGAGTCTGATCCTTCGTTTACCCAGTAAGTAAGACTCGACACTTTCACATGCTATGCAAAACATGCCATCCCGTGTTAGCCAGATTCTGTCACTGTGACAAAATACCAGAGATAATCAATTTTTAAGGAAACTTTTATTTTGGCTCACAGTTTCAGAGGTTTTAGTTCATGGTTCATTGGTGGAAGAGAGAGAAGGAGGGTGAAAAGAGAGAGGGGAAGAGGAAGAAGGAAGAGGAGGAATCCTTCAAGGCCATCCCCCCAGTGACCTAAGTTCCTCCCACTAGGCCCCACCTGAAGGTGCTGCTAACCCCCAATAGTGCCGAGAGTTGGGGACCAAGCCTTTATCATGGGCATTTGGGAGACAGAAGAGATTGAAACCATAGCAGCTGGTATCCTCATGGCATGCTCATGTCATACAAACTCTTACCTCTTTTTTCAGAGAGGGAAGCTGAAGCACAGTATGCTCAAAAACACAAAGTAAAGAGTTGGAGAACCTAGGCCTTTCTGAGTCCAGTACTCAGGTGCTTCTTCGTGGAAATCCTGGGAAGCTTGGTGTCCCTCTGGGAATCAGTCCTAGGGAAGGGCAGAGGTGGTCTATCATGAAGCTGATGAGGCCACAGCCTCAGGAATCCTCGCCTTCCCTGGGCCTAACTTGGTATTACCCTAATGAGCCCCAGCAAGACTCAGACCTGCCTTTGCAGCAAGGTCTACACGTTTTGATAATTGTAATGAAAAGCAAATCTAGTTCATGGGGAGCTGGAGTGCCTGCTAAGCGCAGGTCTGTGGTGGGGGTGTCTGAGGTCATGAGAGAGTTGCAAGGGGAAGTTCCGGCTGAGACCGGTGTGCCAAGGGCTTGCAGAGCTGTTTATTGGTGAGGCTAACAGTTGCAGCCAGAGATGGGTCACCAGACAGCTTTGCTTAAGGGAAGCAAGGATGGCCCAAGTGGGTTCTGAGGGGTCCATCACTCACCTCTAGCACACTGTTGGCTGGAGTGTCGTTGGGACCAAAAGTCGCCTCCTGAACACAGCCTCCGCTCACTGCTGTATTCCAGCTCGAGCTAAGAGATTGTGAAGTCTAGCCCGTTGCTAGGTAGATGTGTCACTGAACACGTTTGCCGAAAATCGTGTGACCAACCTGGAGCCCACCTTCTGGTCTTCACTGCCCCACCCCTGCCTTAGGTTTGCTCCCTGTCCATAAAGTAACCGCACAGAGATGAGGAAGGACTGCCAGGCAGCTGCTGGACTGAGCGGGAAACTGCTCAGCCTGGAGGAGGTGGCTCCCCCACTGGGGGTCTGCCAGTGCATCTGCGTCCCTTAGGCTGGACACCCCCTGCACGCCTGCCATGTCCCTGAGCACAGTGCGAGGCCTGTTGGGACTCTCAGTCCCTGGCATTCTCCCCACTGCATTCCCACTGTCCACAGTCACAGCAACTTGATCTGTTGTCAACCACGCATTTCTGTGGTATAACTCAGCATGAAGCCAGTGTTTTCCTGGAGGGACCCGGGGGGGTTTTCTTACAGGTTGGCAACATGACGGGGAGTCAGGATTGCTGGATGCTGAGTCCCAGGCGCAGCCAACAGGAATGTGCTCTGCAGGACGGCAGGCCTGCTATCGGATAGCTGAAGCCTTATGAGTCATTGTGAAGCAGGGTCTCACCAAGCCACTATGTTGTCCAGGTGGGGTCTCAACGTCCCAGAGGGCTGGGCTGACGGGCATGCGCCACTGTGCCTGGCAAACTGAAGACTTGTAAGGACCACTCTGGATAAAGAATATGCTGGACCCTGCAGGGGCCACACACAAGAGAAGATCTTGGCCACTTTCTATATCCAGTCCCAGCTGAAAGCAAGCACATTCCATTTTGGAATTGTTAGAAGGCTCTTTTTTCAATTTACGTACCCAACCTGTTTCCAAAAAGACTTTGTAGGCCAAGCATTTACCTGAAATTTTACCTTTTACTGGACAGCTGGCTTTGTTAAATGTCAACTTAATCTCAAATGCCTGAGAAAATGATTTCAATAACATGGTTGGACACCAATGTCAGGTTTTCAAAACTCACTTCAGGCCAGAGAGGAACAGCACAAGCAGCATCTACCAAGAGTCTTTGCACTGACCTGGGCACACGCTCACCGTGATTTGTGCTTGGCTCTCTCTGGAGAGTGAAGGGTGTGCACTAAGAAAGTGGAGAAGAGAGAATCATGTTTTTATTGTGCTGGACAGAGGCGCCCAGCCCCATCAGCAACAGCTGTTCCTTCCACAGGGCACCTGGACTTCAGATTGCTCCTCGCGTCTCCTCTGTTTACCTCGACATGGGAAATCTGTCTCACCTGGTGACCCCTCAGAGCCACTAACCACAAGGTTGGAATGTGTGCTTCATTTGCTCCCAGAGCCAGGCTAAGTTTTAAGCTCGTAACCAACTTAGACATTTCTTTCACCACACATCACAGAACTCGGGGCAGTAACAGCCAGCTGTCTGGTTTCAGGAAGGCACTAGCTGACTAAATGAGATCCTGTTAATTCTGGGGACTGTAAGAGAGAGGCCAACTGGAAACGCTAATCAGTGAATAATCAGCAAAGACCAGGGCATTCTCTGACTTCAGCTCACAGGGCAGTGTCCCGAGCTGGCCTCACGATTGTATCATCGTAGGGATAACAGGAAGATTCGAAAGGATATGGAATTTGCTCCACAAATGTTGGATGTTATCATTTTCTTTAACTCATTAATGTTTAATGCTTCATCTTCATCTTTCACGCACGAGCGTAGAAAACTTCAGAGAGCATTTTAGAACATGTCTCCAGAGTGGTTCATTGATAAATTGAAGTATACTTGGCTCTTTAAGCCTAATTCCCATTCTTCCCACACCTCATTGGAGATGGAAAGGAAGAATTTCAGCACACAGAGGGTTAATGAGCAATACTGAAGGCTTGGAGTTAGGCGTGGACTTCCGGTTCTTCAGTCTTGCTTACACACATACACACACACACACACACCAGTCTAAGCTAGGTCTTGCCAAAGTTTTGCTCCAATAGGACAGATCTAAGAGGTGACTCTGGGCCCAGAGAACCCGGCCCATTCCAGCCGCTCTGTGTGCACTTACCTGTGAGTCTGCAGGGCCAGTGAGAGAGAAACCGCCGCTTTTGTCTTAAATTACTTACAGAATAAAGAGAAAGAATGAGGAAAGTAACAGACCCAAAGTCCCTTCTTTTGTTCTGTAGGCAGACAAAGGAGAACAGGAAGAGCTGGCCCTGGCCCCTCCTTCGCCTCTCTGGCTTCTCCTTGCTTGCCTGTCCCCCTGCCCCACCCAATTCCTCCTTGTTGAACCCCAAAAGCAACTGCTGCTAACAAGGATGGTGTGTGCACCCACAAACACGTGCCTCTCCACCCTTCTCTGTGAAGAGCAGCCAGCATGCACACTGTAACTGGATTCACACACACTTTTACATCATGGTTATTTGATGGCGTATATTCCAAAGATTACAGAAAGAAGCACTTTGTTCAGAGCAATCCCTTAGCATGATTCTCACTCTGTAGACAAAGCTTTTTCCTAACCATTTCTGCCACGAGGTGGGAGACTCTAATCTGGCTTTCCTTGTACACTGCTTTCCTCTTCTGGAATTGGAGGGATAGAGGAAGATGCCCCTTCGAGTTGCATCCAGCCATTGATTCATTTTGTAGGGAAGAAAATTGAACGGCAACCAATTTATCCATCTGCCTAAGGTCCACATTTATTTGTGCACAGAGCAGAGATGGAAACCCAAGCCTTTGACTTCTCTAACCTCAAGATTTTGCCAGCAGATAATACTGTTGTTTGTTGCTTACTGTTTTCTTTTTATTGTGTATGGTCTGGGAAATCCCAGAGCAAAAGGAAGGCAGCAGTTTGTACTGCTGTTAACTTTGGGGGTGGGGAATTGATAGGAGATATCCGGCCAGAATAACCAAGTTTCCCTTCCACTAATAGCAAGAGGCTGCTCTTGTGGTCAGAGGGTCATGGGTCGTGATGCAGGTCCATAGAATAGGCTTTGGGTTAAAGAATGGAGGGGAGGAGA